AAATTCAGGTCCCAGCGGGATGGCCTGCTTGAGACTCAAGTGCCGGTACCCAAATGGGAAATAGTCAGTTCTCACCTCTGAAGGTCTAGGCTGGCACTTCTGGAAGACCGCACATCAGAACAGCAGGGGGTGGGGGGCACTCCTCTCCAGGGGAGGGGCTGCTGAACCACCCAGCCCCCAGGCAGTGGTTTACACGGCCAGGGGAATGGGTCCTTCGCACAGTAAGAACTTTGATAGGGGAGTGGAGGGTTTCTGGGGTACAGGCTCGATCCCAGCGCAGAGCGAAGATAAGGATTGGAGACAACATTTATTTATGGAAGGGAGGAAGCACGGGGTGTGCCAGTCTAAGGCGTGCTAGGGAGAAAGTAGCAGATCTCCTACCTCAAAGGAGAGCCTGGCAACAATTCCTCTGGCCACCAAGGCCTCTCCCCTCCCCCCTCCGTACCCGCTCAATCTCCCTCCCCACCCCCACTTGCCTCCCCAGCATCTGGGGCCGAATTTAAGCCTGTTTTTGCGTTTTCTCCGACCTGGTGAAACCTGGATCCACTTGCTCGGTGCAGACACGCCAATCGGCCCCCCGGGTCCCCTGGCCTCGGTGGGAGGGTGGCGGGGCGACGGAAAGCGGAGGACAGCGGCGATGGATCCGGATTCAGGCAGGGTCTGCCCTGGTCGAAAGCGGTTTCCCACCGGTGGGCTCGGAGCCGCCGCGGCCGCGCCGCTGGAGCCGACCGAACGCCGTGCCGGGCGGAAGCTCTCCGGAGCGGGGGCTGCGCGCGGCGTGGGAGCCCTGGCCCCTCGAGCGCGCCCGCGGGGTCCGGGGGCGCGAAGGACGGGACGCCGGGGTGGTGAGAAGTGGGACTACTGCGCCGAAAGGGGCGCGAGCATCCGCACGACCAGCCCGTGGCGCCGGGCTCTTCCCGGAATCCCACCCCACTCTGCAAACCCAAAGATCCCGAAAATTCCGAAAGCGAAACTGCAAGCGGGTCTCCAGAAGTTTGGGAACGGTCTCGCAGGCTTGCCTGCGTCGTCTCCGCACTCGGACACCAGAGTTGCCGTCAAGGCCGAGCGCCCCAGGCGGTGGCGATCGCTCCGCACGGCCACCAGCCGCGTCCCCGGGCCACCTCCCTCGGTTTTTTACGCGGAAAGGGCCCCAGCCCGGAGCCGCAGCCCTGGCCCCGGTTCCGGGGCGGTGGTCGGCCGGGCTCTCGCCGCGCGTCTCGGTTCCTCCGTCCTCCCGCTGCTTCCCCCAAGAAAGGGAAACTTGGGCCCTGCGAGAATCCTGAGGAATGTTCTTTGTAATCGGTTGTGTATTGGCGTCCACGGCACAGCTCGGTGCAAAATCGCGGGTTTCGGGGCGTTAGAGTGAATTGTGCGCTTGTCAGCGGCGACGTCAGGAGGACGAGGGGAGGGGTTCCCGGCTGAAACTGCAGTTTACAAGCACAGAGCCATTTTAGGCTGGTTTCCACCCCAGCGAAGCCCACGGGAGAGCTGTCCCCGGAGGACGCGCTGCCAGCGCACGCTGGAAGGGCCGGGGACGCGCCGCGCGCTCAGCCCCGGGGGGCCGAACGAGTCTCCGCCCGAGTGTCGCCGATCTCTCAGCCCCGCCGACCAGGTGGGAGGGAATATCTGCCGCGGGGTCCCCACCCACGGGGCACTGCGAGGGACGGGCCTCTCCGACAGCGCGGCGTCCGTCTAAGTGGGGAGCACGAGCTGACCCTATGGCTCCCCCCTCTAGGCCCCTGCAAATGCCCAGAAACCGCGGTACTGCGCCACCACTATCTTTTTAACCCCAAGATTTAAACACGTCTCGGCACACGTGGCCAACGCACCATCAGGTCCGCTGGCCTAGATAAGGTCCCCAGGACCTGCCGTCGCCAGGCCCCGGGGACGCGCACAGCCGCCTCACAGCCCCCCACCCCCCGGGTCCCTCGCGCGCGACCTCCGCTCGGAAGCCGCGTCCTGGCCACTGGCGACCCCTGTTGGAGATCTGGTCCCTAGCTTAGCGAGCTCCGGTTTGCTTGCTTCCCCCTCGGACTCCCCTTACAGCCTCCGACTTTGCCCCCAAACTCCAGTCTCAGACCCTCCCGGCCCCAGAAGCCGGCCTTTCCAGGGCGCCACTCAAACCCCAAAGCGACAGCGCCGCCCGCTGGCCTGCCACGGCCCAGGACGCCCCTCTCAGATCCAGCCTTCTCGCGCAGGACCTGAGCAAGGGACACTTTCATCCGAGAACACTGCTCCCATCCCCCACCTTCCCTAGAGCTCAACTCCAAAAGCAACTCCTCGCTTCGACCCCACACACTTTTCCGCCGAGATCCGCGCGCGGACACCTCTCTGCGCCACCATTTCCATCCTCCCCGCGCCTCGGTCGTGGGGCCCCCCGCCGCCAAGTGCGGCGTGCCCCCAGCCCACACAAAACCCCACAGGCGTCTGCAGCCAGACTGCACCCAATACCCTGGACAGTTAGTCCTTTGAATGAGCACCTCCTCACTCCGCCTACCCCCGTAGGGCTTCACGCGCGCAGAATCCAGCAACAGGGAGAGCTCGTCTCGAAGAAAGCCGAAATAAATCATTGCCTCTGCCCTCATGTATTTTGCACCACGTGTCAGCAGTTTGTCACGTCAAATCATGGCAGGGTCTGGCTCCAAGACGCACACACACATTCGGGGCGTATGTCTTTGACACACCCCCCCCCCCAACTGCACACACCGGTATGCCCACTGATCCAAAGGCACACACTGCAGTCGTGCTTGGATACCCTGGTCTGGACCAGCGGC